GAGCAATGAGGGGGTGCTGCTCCCTGTCCTGGTCTGCTCTGAGCTGAGCACTGAGGGGGTGCTGCTTCCCATCCTGGTCTGCCCTGGGCTGAGCACTGAGGGGGTGCTGCTCCCTGTCCTGGTCTGCTCTGGGCTGAGCACTGAGGGGGTGCTGCTCCCCGACCTGGTCTGCTCTGAGCTGGGGACTGAGGGGATGCTGCTCCCCATCCTGCTCCTGGTCTGCTCTGAGCCGGGGACTGAGGGGGTGTTGCTCCCCGTCCTGCTCCTGGTCTGCTCTGAGCTGGGTGCTGAGGAGATGCTGCTCCCCGTTCTGCTCCTGGTCTGCTCAGCTGCCCCAGCACAGCCAAGGTGCAGGCTCAGTGGCTGCTTTCTGGGGTCACGTGGCTCTTAGGCTCCAGGTCCTCGACCACCCCACTGGGGAGGATGGTGCCATTCGACATCTCAGAACAGGCTCCTGAAGCGCTGAGAGGCATTTCCTACGTGCCAGCTGCCTGCAGACACCAGACATATGCCGAGCACGGTACAGGCACCATCACCTGTGACCACGGTGCTACTAGGGGCACGTTGTCACCCCTGTAGCAAACAGGGAAACTGAGGCACAGAGGAGGCCGTCGGGCCCCTGGGTGTGTGGGGTGCAGGCTCAGGCAGCCGTGTGACCATGTCTGGGCCTCCACAGGTCGTGTGGGGCAGGCGGTAGCCCTGCGGGCCAAGGCCTTCGGCTTCAACGTTCTGTTCTACGACCCGTACCTCTCAGACGGCATCGAGCGGGCCCTCGGGCTGCAGCGGGTGAGCACCCTGCAAGACTTGCTCTTCCACAGTGACTGTGTGACCCTGCACTGCGGTCTCAACGAGCACAACCACCACCTCATCAACGACTTCACCGTCAAGCAGGTGGGCATGGTGGGCACGGGTGGGCAGGGCCACCCCCACTGCCCCTGGAGCCGATACCCTGGCCTCCCTTCCTCAGTCGGTGGACATGCCCAGCCTGCAGAGCCCACGCCGGGACAGTGACACATAGGGTCATCGGTGGGGATGAAGGACTTAGGCCCGGGCAGTGGGGCTGTCCCACCCCAAGGAGGCACAGACAGGCCTCCCACTGCCCGCTCCTGCTTGAGCCACAGCAGGAGGACGGCCCTGTGGAGGTTTTTGGGGGCGGGGGGTGGATCCCCCTCCAGAGCCCAGGGCTGCATCTGGGGGCAAAGGTCCTGATGTCCCTTTCCAGCCAAACCCTAGTCAGCTTAGAGCAGCCCCGAGATCAGGGAGCCGATGCCGCATCTCTGCTGCCCCCTGGTGTCCAGATCCGCTAACGACAGCTGAGGACCTGCCTGGCCCCTTTTCGGGAAGCTCTGCACAGACACCTGTTTTCGTTTTCTGAGTCTGCTGTAGACTCCCCAGTGCTCTTCTGGTAGTCTTGTTGTTGTTGGGTGCCGTTGAGTCGGTTCCGACTCATAGCGACCCCGTGTACTACAGAACAAAACCCTGCCCGGGCCTGCGCCATCCTCACAATCACTGTCATGCTTGAGCCCATCGTTGCAGCCACTGAGTCAATCCATCTCGTTGACGGTCTTCCTCTACTTTCACCAAGCAGGATGTCCTCCAGGGACTGATCCCTCCTGATAAAGTGTCCAAAGTCTGTGAGACGAAGTCTCGCCATCCTTGCTTCCAAGGAGCATGCTAGCTGTACTTCTTCCAAGACAGATTTGTTCTTTTGGCAGTCCGTGGCGTAGTCAGTATTCTTCACCAGCACCACAACTCAAAGGCGTTAGATACCAGTTCTCACCAAGGCCTTGTCTTCTAAGCAGTGTGCTTGTGGATGGTAACAGGGAGAGCCTTGGGTGAGGGCACTTTGTTCAGTGGCTGTGTCCACCCTTAAATGTTGGCACTGTCAGGGTTAAGATTTTAAACCCCAGCTGGAAACGCTGCATCGTTGCATCATAGGGCTAGCCAGTGCCTGCCCACGCGGAGGTGGAAGCACAAGCGCTCTGCCCCGCGTCTCCCTCCAGAGTTGACCGCCTCAGGGCGGGAGCTGGACTAGGTGGCCTGTCTGCCTGGCTCTGGGGCTTTCACACGGTTATGTGTGTACACGTTTGTATGTGTGATTGTATACAGAGATGTATGTGGACATGGGTGAGTGCGCACATTCGTATGCACATGCAAATGTATTCGTGTCTGCACGTGTTTGCACGTTTGCATGTGTGCATGCACATTTGTGGACGTGTGTGTGCACGCTTGTATTTGTGGACATTTGTGCATCTGTGTGCACATTGGCATGCTTGTATGTGTGAGCGTGTGCGTGTATGTTGTGTGTGCGTTTGCCCTGTCCACCCTACATACGTGTTTATGCGTGTGTGCATGTTTATGCATGCGCACAAGTGTACACGTGTGTGCGCACATGTGCACATTTGTGTATATGTACGTGTGTGCAAGTGTGCATATTTGTATACATACGTGGATTTGTGCGTGGTGTGTATGCATGCTTGTGTGCATGTGTATGTTTGCACAAATGTGTGCACCTTTGTGTGTGCATATGTGCGCATGCATGAGCGTGCCCTTGTTTGTGCATGTCCTTGTGCGGGGGTGTGCACGTGTGGGTGCCCACGTGCCCATCCTGTCTGCCATTGTGGGCTGCAGGGAGGACGAGGCAGGATGCCCGCCACCACTGCTGCCCCCTTTATTCAGCAGACAGTGGGCTCAGGGCCTCGTAGCGGACAGGCTGTGGCATGTGGACAGTGCTCAGGCAGTGCTGCCGCCAGGAGCTGTGGGCATGTGGCCACGGTGGGCGAGAGTTGACGAGGACAAGCCGTCCTCCCCAGACAGTGTGGCTGGCAGCCCTGCCGGTGGCCTTTGTGGGAGTGGAAGGGCCTACAGAAACCCTTCCTGTGTCACGGGGGTGTCTGGCATCAGGCCAGCCCTGGGGGCTTTTAGCAAAAGTAAAGAAAAATAACAAATGAGCCTGTGTTGGAATACAACAGTTTTAGCCACAGGCCACCGTCCGAAATGGTTTCTCTGCTTGAGTTACTCTGTGGAAGACCACCCCCACTGAATGCTCCCTCGGTGCCTCCACTCGCTGTTCGGCATCGGGGTGTGCTGTGAGGTTCAGATCCACCTAATGGGGGCGGCCTGCTGAAGGGAAGCTGAAGAGTGAGCTGCCCCAGAGCGAGAAGGCCCCGCCCCTCACCCTAGGCCTGGGCGGCCAGGAGCCTGGGTGTCTGTGGGTCGGGACTCAGGCCACAGTGGCCGAGCTCTCAGTGCTGGTCCTGGGCACCCCAGGTCCTTCCTAGGCACCAGGTGCAAAGATGGGGGACTGGATGAGGGGACCTGGCACGCCTGTGCCAGCTGCTGCCCTCCAGCTGGGGTTGTGGTGGGGCCTGTAGTCCTGCGGCCTCAGCCCCAGGCAGCCTGGGGGCGCCCCGAGGCATTCAGTTCTGGAGTTCCCAGGAGCCAGTGGGAGGCCGAGAGAACTGGGCATCTTCCTCATGGGGTGTGGCCCAGGCGTCACTGTCCCCACAGCTGGCCTGGTCCCTGCTCTGTGTCCCTGACCCCGTCAGACCAGCCCCTCCTGTGCTGTCCTGAGCCCCTTGGGAGCAACTTTGCCACCGCCCTGCCTGTGGCTGGAGAGCCCAGGCTGGCCCTGGCAGGTGGGCAGGCTTAGGATCGAGGAAATTTCCTCTGAGTGAGTGCAGGCCACATTTGAATCTGTTTTTCACGCTGATGGTGTTTTCCAGATGCGACAAGGGGCATTCCTGGTGAACACGGCCCGGGGCGGCCTGGTGGATGAGAAGGCGCTGGCGCAGGCCCTGAAGGAGGGGAGGATACGTGGCGCAGCCCTGGACGTGCACGAGTCAGAGCCCTTCAGGTGCGGCCTTCGGCACCGCCTCCAGGCAGGGGTCCTCCTGCCAGGGTCTCCGGGGCCCTGCCTCACGCAGCCAAGGGCTCAGGGTGCGCCCTGCCCAGCTTTATCTCCAGCTGCTGCCCTGCTCCATGCTGACTCCCTCCCAGAACAGGACAGCTCTCGGCCCCCCACACTGTGATGAGGGAGCACCATCCAGAGCCCCTGGGGAGCCGGCTGGATGGGTTTCCTGGGGCAGCAGTGGTTATCATGGCCGCCTCCCATTCCCAGGTGCCCGCGTGCAGGCCACCCTGAGTAGCCCCCAAATGGTGGATGAGCGTCAGGCATCTTGGGGTTCCTCCCTCGTTACCTTGCCTCTGCAGAAATCTGTGCCCTCGTCCACCTCCTCATGGGGGTGCCGGCCCAGGGCTTGGGGAGCCCTGGCGGCTGAGAGGCCTCAGGGCAGACAGGAGGAGCCTGCAATGCCCAAAGCCGTGGGCAGCCCGCAGGAGGCTGCCCTGGGCCGAGCACCACAGCTCCTGGGGAGGACTCTGCTGCGGGGAGGGACGCAGGCCTACATCTTCCCCTGGCATTGGCCACATGTGGGCCTGATCATCACAGGGCTGTGAGCTTAAAGTCGCCTGCCCGGGCCGATGGCTGTGTGTGGTGCCCAGGAGGAGGAGGGGATGCAGGGAACGCGTAGAGCCCGAGACACCCCCGCTCCTGGGCCGCGGCATATGTGGCTGCTCTGACCTTGTCATGCACTGTCCTCAGCTTTAGCCAGGGCCCCCTGAAGGACGCACCAAACCTGATATGCACGCCCCACGCCGCGTGGTACAGCGAGCAGGCTTCCATCGAGATGCGGGAGGAGGCGGCCCGGGAGATCCGGAGGGCCATCACAGGTAAGCCTGTGGGCTGAGGGGCGGGCAGGAGAGCCAGAGGGCCGTCACAGGTGGGCCTGTGGGCTGAGGGGCGGGAGAGCCAGAGGGTCATCACAGGTGGGCCTGTGGGCTGAGGGGCGGGCGGGAGAGCCGGAGGGCC